CAGTTAATCTGCAATAGTAATATGCATTTAGGTTATTTGCATATATGTATGCAATATTATTTTTACACACACTTTTTAAAAAGGCATTAATAGATTTTATTAAAATTGCTACATTTTCACTATAAAATTAGCATGCCATGATTATAGGAAATTTTGCAAATAATAAAATGTTGAAAAATAAATATTCAAGTAACCATCAAAATACAGTTATATTTAACATTTTGGCTGTATTTTCTCCCATGTATTTTTCCCCATGGATAGTATTTTTAACATAGTCATGCTCATATTAAACACATGTATGTTATTACACAAAACTTTATAACACTGAGGGTTTATTTTTAAGTTAGAAGTCTGGAAAGTCTAACTACATAGTCAAAAGTTGTGGACATTTTTAAGGCTTTGTTGTGATTGCCATCTTGGTTTTCACGTTGTTCCAATTTTCACTCTTAGCAGCAATATGTGAAATTACTAGATAAATTACACCCTAGTCAGTATTCATTCAGGAAATACATGTTGCACAGCTCTTATTCATCTAGACCCTGTATATTTAATGGTGAGCAATATCATACATTTCAATTTTCTTCATGAAACTCACAGGCCAGTTTGGAGACAGACGTCAATCATATAACTACACAAATGTGAAATTAAAACCATGAATTACAACGCAAAATATTAACATCTGTTTAATCTCAATGGTGGGCACATGGATGTGGGTTGTATTGTTTTCTATGTCTTCTAATATGGGGGCTGGCTCAGGGGAATTGTGGTTAGTTCGTACACTCTGCTTCATCAGCTCAGGGGTTCGCGGGTTCGGATCCTGGGCGCGGACCTACCCACCACTTATCAAGCCATGCTGTGGCAGGTGTCCCACATAAAATAGGGAAGATGGGCACGGATGTTAGCCCAGGCCCAATCTTTTTCAGCAAAAAGAGGCGGATTGGCAACAGATGTTAGCTCAGTGCTAATCTTCCTCACAAAAAACAAAACAAAACAAAATGAAATAATTTTGATGTTTAAAGAATAAGTTGACCTATGAAGAAACTGCCATAAAAGCATTCAGAGGAGGAGTCTGACCTCATCTGAGGTGTCAGGGAAGTTCCACAGAGGAAGCGCTGATGGAGCCAAGCTTGGGAAGGAGGAAAACGAGTTAACCATGCGAAGATGTGTGCATGTGGGTGGTGTGTGTGTACGGTTGTACAAGGGGGCACCTTTATGCAGGTGGGCATATTTGAGACAGATAAGGTTAAAGGAACAGGATAAATGTGGGAGATGATTGTGGAATATCTGTAGGCAGCCCACAGTGACCCCGGTTGGGCTATGTGCAGGGGATGGCGTGGGAGCAGTAGAAAATAAAGCCAGGCATGTAAGATGGGGCCCCGCTGCTGCGGGTTGTGTGAGTAAGTCGGAGGGCATCGAAAAGTCCCTGCGTATTTCCTGATGTGATGGATTGGAGCAGGCAGACTACAGGTGGGAAGACCCCCTAGGAGAGGCCATGAGGGGCTGAACTGCTGCTGGCAGTGAAAATAGAAAAAGGGAAAAGAGTGAGGGAGATTGTGACGACAGCATCTGTAGGAATTGGGCAACTCATTAGGTGGAGTGAAAAAGGCGAGCATGGTGTTGAGTCAGGGGTAGAAATGCCTTTTGGCTGGAGTTGGTGGAGATGGGAGAACTGAAGTAAAAATGATACTGGCAGAAATTTAAACTTACAGGATTAAATTTTCAATTTTGGTGAGGGCTTCATGGGTAAAGATTTATCAGAAATGCAGCCAATGGCAAAGTGGGGTGGATTGTAGAAGATATTTTCGAGAACTTTGATCCTTTCTCACTTCATGTTATTATTTCATATCAAGATTCAGCTCCGAGTATGCAGGATTTGGATTTAGACACAGCTGTGGTTAATGCTTTAAACTTAGTTTTTAAAAAAACCGACTGGTTTGCATTTTATTTTAGGTTTTTAAAACGGTTTAGTTCAATTGTTCAATTCACAGAGGCCACATAGTTTAGTAGATAAGTGGGCAGGATCATGTTCAAACCTCAGCTTTTCACTTGTTAGTAAGTGCTCTTTGTCAAATTACTTCACTGCTCTGTGTCTCCACTTCCTCATCTTCAAGATGGGCTTTGTATTAAGTAAGTTGTGGCGAGGATTCAATGAGCTGATCCTGTAATGTACTTAGAACAGTGCCTGGCACCTGAGAAGAACACAACCGCTGTTATTACGGCTTCTAGAAAGAAAATACCAAATAATGCGAAACTAGATAAATCGAAATCAATTTGGTTTTCTTTCCTTGAAATTAAATGAGAGCTCAAAAACAGAATTTCATGCTTTACTTATACTTCCTTATCAGAAAGGAGGGGTGGTCGAGAAGGGCTGTCTCAGCATGATGCCCTCCAGCTTCCTCCATGTTGTCACAAATGGCAGGATTTCCTCCTTTTTAAAGACTCAATAATATTTCGTTGAATATATGTACACTATATTTTCTTTATCCCTTCCCTTCTTAAGGGACACTCAGGTTATTTCCATGTCTTGACTATTGAGAATGATGCTTCAATGAACATGGGAATGCAGATATCTCTTCAATATCCTGATTTCGTTTCCTTTGGGTAAATACCCAGAAGTGGGATTGCTGGATCATACGGTAGTTCAATGTTCAACTTTTTGAAAAACTACCATACTGTTTTCCACAGTGGCTGCACCATTTTACATTCCTACCAACAGTGTACAATGGCTGCCTTTTCTCCATGTCCTCACCAATACTAATCTCTTGTCTTTTTGATAATAGAAAAAACAAAACTGAAGGGCTCTCTTTGTATGAGTGTGAGGGAGCTTGTGGGGGTTATATGTCTTCTTACTGCTTTGACCAGCTTAATTCAAGTCCAGAAGATATAGTAGCTAAAATATAGGATTATTAAAAATAATCAATTAAGAACATAAAGGTTTTGCAGAAAAATTGTCAATATCTAAAATTCTCTATATGTTTTCATGGAAACTAAGAATCAGGCCCCCACTTTTTACTTTTGTTCTCTTCTTTTCCTTGCTACGTTTTCAATGATGAACATATGATGCAGCAAAACTAAGAAAAGAAGTTCTTGGTACTTAGAGGTTTGATTGCCCAGTCAAATCTTCTGCGTGATGGGCAGACTAAGGCACAAGAGTAATTTTTATCTTCATTAATGCACACCTTGGAATTATGTGATTTTTAAAGTTATATACCACAGAATAAAGAACATACGTAACATAATCCTAATAATCCCTTAAATGTTTCTTTTTAAATCCTAGTCTTCTAAAAGCATCTAGATTCTGATATGTTTAGTCACACTGGTGTTGTGATGCTGTGGTGTTCCTGCATTATTTTCCAGGTTTTCTTCAATATCATACTATCTTTGAAGGAAATCTGTGTATCATGGAATCATTTTTCAAATTATTAGTTACATTAGATGTACATAGAAACAGATATTGGCATTCTCTTTAATTTCTTGAGACTAAACAAGCCTAAGATATTCTGTTTTTAAATAGCTTTTTTGGGGGGCCGGCCCCGTGGCTTAGTGGTTAAGTGAGTGCGCTCCACTACTGGTGGCCTGGGTTCGGATCCCGGGCGGGCACTGACGCCCTGCTTCTCCAGCCAGGCTGAGGCCGCGTCCCACATACAGCAACTAGAAGGATGTGCAGCTATGACATACAACTATCTACTGGGGCTTTGGGGGGAAAAAAAAGGAGGAGGATTGGTAATAGATGTTAGCTCAGAGCCGGTCCTCCTCAGCAAAAAGAGGAGGATTAGCACGGATGTTAGCTCAGGGCTGATCTTCCTCACACACACACACACACACACACACACACAAATAGCTTTTTTTTGCATGTGTATTTTTTGTGTTCACCTGTTTACAAGTCCTCAGTTCTTCTATCCATTACAAGATGCTAGGTTTCATTGTTCGGTAACATCCTACTGTTTTGACAGCGTGATTACACTTGCATGTCCTATTCAGTGATTGTGGAGAGATGCGGTTGCCATGGTGAGTGTTATGATGTCCGACATCAAATCTAGTCATGAGACGGGATGGCCTTTGAAAAACCACATGCAAATGTTTATTTTCAAAGGTGCAACTGGCTCTTTGTGAAGCGCTGGGTCACTAAGGTGGTTGTCTTTCCAATGACTCATCAAATGGGACGTCTGCTACCATATAATTTCCCTTTTTGTTTTAATAAACTTCCACTGCTCTCTACCTCAAGCCCTATTGGTATAATTTTCCCCTTCTCTTAGTTGTATAAATTAGTAGGATTATCTGTTTAATTCGTTTAACTTGTCCGGATTATGGCCTCAGAGCTGACCTCACAGCACAGGTTTGTTATCGTGCCTCACCCTGCGTTCGGAAGTCTGTTATTCCATTTTCCTATGGATCATGCATAAGTACTTGCTTCCACGCAAGTTAGGGTGGCCCTTGAGACATCAAGGAAACATTATGTCTCCATATCAGGGCTTTTTCTAAAATTGTGTATCAAAATGTTAGTATGAATTTTTTTTTTAAATACAGATTTTTCACGTTTTGGGGTTACTTGTCAAATTAAATAAAAAGAAAAATCCATTAAAAAGACTTGAATAAAGTTTCTTAGAGCTAGAAGTTTGCAAAACTTGTACTGCCATCTTGAATGATAATATTATTCTAAACTATTAAACTAATTAGTTTAGGACTTAACCAATACTACAACTAATAAATTAATTAATTTAATCATTTCAACTAATAATTTAAATACACACATATTAGTTTCATAAAATGACCTATTTTCTGCAATTGACCCATGCAGCTGATGACTGCATTCTCTTCACCTTCTATGATTAGTATACTCCAGGTTTGATAAATATGGAGGAATCTGGGAAACGTACAATACAAAGTACTAATTCTATAAAATGCCCTCTTACTTCTGAAAAAGAAAAGTAACAGAAAAGAAAAAAGAAACTCTATTGTGACACATCGTGAGGCTTACGATAACTATGTTTGCCTTTCAGATCCCCAGCTCAAGGGTATAGTGACCAGGTTATATTGCAGGCAAGGCTACTACTTGCAAATGCACCCAGATGGAGCTCTCGATGGAACCAAGGACGACAGCACTAATTCTAGTAAGTGACAACCTCAGGCCACCAGTTAACACAGTGGGTAGAAGATACGCTGCTACATAAATGACTTTGTGAAATTTGCAAATATTTGGTTATGTTGGTTTACTTTTACAAATGTTACACACTAGAATGCCATTCACGATTTCGCTTGGACCACATGGATGAAAATATCAACAGAGCAACAAAAGAAACCTGTCATTTTAAGATAATTATAAGTTAATATTTTCTTTTTTTTCCAAACAATTGTCATATACAGCATTATTGTTACTTTTAATCTTGTCATAAAATTCAAGTAAGTACCTGGTGTGTTCAGATGAAAGTTGATTACATGTTTACTTTGGCAGTATTATTTTTATCAAGCCTGTAGCTTCTTAATGATAATTGTAGAAATTCAAGAGCTACAAGGATTAGTTGTTTCAAATAATAGAAATGTAATTTTTCAAATTCTTTGTATTCAACAAGAAAAGATAATATCTTTCTTTATAGAGAGGGCATGAGGGCTGTGTGCCTTTAAATACGTTGTACAAAATATTTAACTACTTTATAGAATTGGGTCTGTGATAACTTTTTTTTTTATTAAAAAGCCTCCCACTTTTCATTGTATTAATATCTGTCTTCATTTTACTATTTCTTTATATACAACGTTTCTTTTATTCTCATTCTGGTGTCCCTCCTTATTCAATTGTCTGAGTTTTCCTTTCCCCTATTCTGTTTATACTGGCTTCTCACTCCTTGTAATTTAGCACATAAGTTCTAGAATAGATACACTTTTTACTGCTCGGAAGATTTAGTGAAAAGCAAAAACGGATTTTATTAGAAATATTTAATCACATATTACTTGTGGATCAGGAGTGGATATGAATCTTTTCATCCATTTATCATTTATCCTTCATATATAGACCATTCCATGAAAAGAAGGGAGGATTTGAGTACATGTAACCAGATTATCGGCACTTCCTGTTTTAAATTCTAGTGATCAAATTTTTAGTAACAGTGATTCTGAGAGTAGCTAAGACTATAAAGTAGACTATTTCTGCGTTTGGTATTGCTATGTGAAATGTCAATATTTTTCCAGCCATTGTGTTTATTTTTTAGACTTTGGGCATTTCTTCTTTTTTTAATTTTTCTTTCAACTTTAAATTATTCTTTTTTATCTTCATTTTACTCCTTTTCAATTTCTAATCTTTTTCTTTTTGTGTCTATTATGTTGTCCTTTTTTACTTTTAAACTTTTCCCTATAATATGTGTTCATTGATTTTTTGTGTGTGTGCGCTTTATTTCCTCTTTTGATTTTAGAAAAAGAGAAAGTAAAGCAACTCAGCCACAGGGAAGAAAGAGAAGGCGTTATTCATAAGACCAATGTCAAACATTGTTTACTTGTTGGGATTTTGATACCAGGTTGAACCTTTTAAAATTGTCAGCACTAGACCATCTTTGACCTACAAAAGATGTCAGTTTCTTCTGGTTGAAGCTAATACATATATATCTGTTTGTTTTCTTTTGCCTATCTAACTCCTCACCCATTCTTTGATAAAAAGACATTCTTCTTTCCTTAAGTCTTACAGTGTGGGGACCATGGGCTTTAAAGATTCATAAGCTTTGATGTTCTCCATGTTTTCTTTGACCAGAGTCTAGTAGAGCATGAGAATTAGTTTTCCATAACTCTGATCACTATAAGAGCTATGACACTCTGATTTATCAGATTGGAGGCTGATGTCATCCATTATGACAGAAGTTTTCAAGAAAGGAAACAAACTAAAGCTGTATGAAAATACCGCTTAGTTGGACTTCTTGGAAAAATAATATCCTTCAAATAAAGATTTTACGAATTTTTTTCTTGCCATCTTTGGTTTTTGTAATGCCAAACAAGTCGGTTATTTTTAATGATGAGAATAGAAATCAAGTTGAGAAGTGTTAAGTAGACACTGTCTTTTAAAAGTGTGTTGCCTCAGAATTGAAGAAGCAACACAGTATTTTCTAAATAGTGAAAGTGCAGACGTAGACGTTATACACATACACACCTAATTATATCTGGTTATCTGAATAATACTAAACACTAAATTGGAAAGCGGAGGTACTAAAAGATTCTCAACCTTTATTCTCTACATGTATGGGGATTCTTTCCTCCTATTGTGTAACTGCACTAGAAGGAACAAGAATCTCTGAGTAACTCTTAAAATCCTCTCTAATCTCCCTAAATGCTGGTGAGGAACAGTTATGGGAATAAAGCAGGAAGAGAACGGAATCAGAGTGCCCACAGTCGAGCGACTTAGAGTCTATGCAAGATCTGGCCCGTAGCTTCTTCTCTTACAAGTTACATTGCATTTTATGTGCACTTTAAGACTGTTAGGTTTGTTTTGTTACCATTTTCAACATTTGCAAAAACACAGCAGAACAGAATAAAACAAGATGAGATAAAGGTTCTCTCTCCTCAAAAGGCTGTAAAAATTGTAGGACTATAAAATTTAATAAAACTTAGCAGGATTATAACAGCTTTATAAAAGCAGTGGGAATTACTGATTAACCCTACTTTTGTGTCCTGTCGCCTTTTTAATTGAAAAACAGTTTTTTAGGGTGAATTTTAAGATATTGTCTCTTCTCTGGTTCGTTACAGTGGTCTTATGAATCTTAAGAAAATTGTTAACACTGAAATGTATTCTTTAAAAACAGGAGTGAGCGTTAGGGATGCTGACAGACAGGTCCTAATTAGAACAGCGACCTTTGGGTTTAAGGAAGCAAGCACATGATGTAATAATTCACAAGCACATTCCAGTTTTTTGAGAATTCTCTGAATACAAAATAAGGATTAGTTATCTACAAATAGGAAAAATAGGGAGAAATCACCCTGATGCCACCCTAAAAGTCACCAAATGGCAAAACTGAGGCTTGAACCTTGAAATCTTTATGATTTGAATTCAACACATATTGTACTAGTAGATATGAGATTATTTACAACTAGGTAAAGTCAGAACCACCCTGCTAAGCTGCCTTTGTCAAAATTTTTAAGCGAGTTGAGAAGAGGGAGAAAGGCCAGCAGGCAGGAGAACCTGATACTAATGTCCTCTCAGAGTTTCCAGTCTGAGATCTAGAAACCTCTGGGAAGAAAAATGGCAAGAAAATGGTTGATGATGGATAATTGGTCCTAATGGAGAAGATACTTTAGCAACTTGACTGCTTATCATTGGCTTCCATGTGCCCTGGAAGGATCTTTCACAAAAGGAAGTGAGCGCCCAGGTCAATTCGTCACCACACTCATGTACAGGGGTGTATTCCTCTAAAATTCTTAGAGCTACCCATCTATCTCCTAAACATCGGCATTACCATGAACTATGATATTTGATTAGGGAGTGGTTTTCTTTCCCCCAGTTTGCTTTTGGGGATGCCACGGGGTTTTCCTGTGCTCTGAAACTGCATTGTTCCATCACCAGGCTTCATAGATGCTGCAAGCAGAATAGGACCAGAGAAACACCAATATGCTAGGAGCTATAGCAACATTAAAACCTCACACAAACCAATCCCTCTCACCTTAGAAGTTCCCAACCTGGTTACTTGATGTGTAAAAATTACCAGTCACTCACAGTGACCACCACCCCACATAGGGTTGTAGTTCTCACCGTGGCCTGTACCTGGCCTGTGATCTTTTAAAAAAATCCCTTATGCCCTAAACCTACTCCCAGATATTCTGATTTAATTGGTCTGGGGTTGGGCATGGCCATCCAGTTTTATGAATACAACTAGTTTTAAAGTGCAGCCAGGGTTGAAAATCACTATTATATGGAGAACAAGAATGTTCCACAGAACAAACAAAGTAGCATGAACATCTTCATTATTCTTACTCCCCTGGGCTTTGTGACTTTGCGTTATAATTATGTAAAATACAAAAAGGGTGAAAAAATATTATTATGTCTCAATTAATGTAGATATCTGTGGTTTTAATTGGCGCCATGGATCCATCTTGGTCAGCTCTGAATGGGCTTCCAAATTACAGTGGTAATATGGATTCACTTTCTATTATCATCCTGTGTGGTAATAACTTGTATTTTATAATTCAAGTCCCACTCAAAATCCTAGGAAAAAAAAACCCAGTATGTTTTTTTTTTAGTATGGTCATTTTAGACCATCTTCTATAATTTTACTCTTTCCCATGCCACAGTATTTTAGTGATTTAATGATGCACTTATGTTCTAGAATTATACCATCTAGCTTATATCAAATAGATAGCACCTAAAAATACCATTAGGAGTGTATAAAGGTTAGAATAATTAAGTTTGAATAGGTTAGGTTAGAATGGTTTGCATGGACAGGCATACAATTATGTTTTTTCCCAGAAAACTTTTTGCACATGAATCAGGAATTATTCTATGCTGCACATTCTTTCAGAATATAAGGAAGATTGGACAGTTCAGGTGTTTCAGGCAAGAGTGAAAACAGCCAATGGCCTTCTCCCACGAAGAAGGAATACTGAGAGTTACGATGACACAAGTACCTCATACCACTCAACGACTCCACACTAATGTTTAGTATAAATAATAGAAATAAGCAAACATAAGCCTCATTCCTCCATAAGGACGTCATAAGCCCCTAGAATCCTACGGAAGACAGTCTAATGTTAGTTTGCATCATGAAAACATATATGCCCCTGAGTATTCTTATAGGGATAATTACCTATGTCCATGGCCTGCTAGTTTCCTTTTATTGTTTGTGTAAAACAGACACCTTGAGATCTTGGGATCAGTAACATATAAAAATCAGAAGAGAGGGGGTAATTTCCCCCCACCCTATTCAGAGAAAATATATGCCTTGGAATTAAATAGAACACAATTTATAAAGTCTATTTTTGAGTACAGTTGATAGCCTAAACCTAAAATATTTTATTTATACATTTACTTCCACATTTTAGTGCTTTCATTGCCTGTTCTGGCCTGGTCCTATTGCTTAGCATTAGACTTGAATTAAGAACTTGAATGGGACTAGATAACCTCACTGTGGATAATTCTCTTATAAATGTATCTGTAAAAAAATCTCCAAAATCATCCAGCAGTTATCAGCAAGAATGATGCTAGAACACCCACCACACATGTAACTCTGGCACAAAAATGCATTAAAGGGATGTTAAGACTTAAAAATCAATTATAACATTGTTGTCTGCACTAGGTAAACAATATATAAAAATACTTTTCTTTTTTCAGTGGGGAAGAAACAAAATATGAAATATAAATGAGTTTTTATCTCTTATGTGGGTAAAATTGAGCACTTTTCCCTCTTTTATTTTAGTTTTCACTCATAGTTTTATGAACTATTAATAAAGAAAATCATATCTTTAAAATTTGCATGGCATTCAATTTGATTGGATCTTTCTAAATTTAGCACATTGGCAGTTGCACATCTTTTCTGGGCTCTGCTGGCATATCATGTTGGTTCTGCAAGAGTAATTTAGTTTGGGAATTACCTTTTTAACTTCTGGCCTGTCCTACATTGCAATGATGAGGCACACCTTCTGCGTGAAAGACCAGAATAAACATTTAACTTGGACTTTTAAAATTCTACTCTTTGAGAATCTTCACAGCTGATTTCTTTTGGTATCAGATGATGTCAGAGACTGAGATACTAGAATCATGATTACAGGCTCGATTCTATTTCTTACCCCACCAGTTCTCCAGAATGCTATAGGCAGACTGCTAAGAAGATCTACAAATCGAAGCTCAAGTGCTAATTTTACCCATAGCAAAAACTTCTTAATTATAAAAAGAAATAAAAGTTAATTAATTGGAACTTTTCAGAAGGTTGTAACAAAGGTGATGTTTCTTAAATTAAAAAACTGAGAGAGAGAAAAATGATAGCAATGCTTGGCTTCTTCCTGCCCATTCATGATGGACCATGTTTATCTTTACAGCACTGTTCAACCTCATCCCAGTGGGACTGCGCGTTGTTGCCATCCAGGGCGTGAAGACAGGGTTGTATATAGCCATGAATGGAGAAGGTTACCTCTACCCATCAGTAAGTCACATGCCGAAGATATTGGCCATTCATTCAATGTTTGCAAAACAACAATAGCAGCAACAACAAAAGTGAGAAAGTTCTGGGTCTATTGATTCTGCCATTTTTGCTTTATTGTTTGATCTTTGCTACAATGCTCTAGGAGCTGTTTAGTCATTCCTCATCAAAGTTTGATAATATCAGTATATCAAGCAGAAGAGTAATATTACCTCTTAAAATTGTGCATTGTCCTTTTTTTTTTTTTCCCTGAGGAAGAATGGCCCTGAGTTAACATCTGTTGCCAATCTTCCTCTTTTTTTGCTTGCGGAAGATTGGCCCTGAGCTAACACTTGTGCCCATCTTCCTCTATTTTGTATGTGGGCTGCCACCACAGCATGGCCAATGAGTGGTGTAGGTTCACGCCCGGGATCCAAACCTGTGAACCTAGGCCACAAAAGCAGAGTGCACTGAACTTTAACCACTTCACCATGAGGCTGGCCACCTTCCATATTTTTTAAAATGACCCGGTTCGTAGGAAATTGAGCACTTTTGAAAGGGTTGATGTTAATATAATCTTTGTTATTTCTCTTTAGAAATGTACTTGTTTTAGAGAGTTTCCGTATATAAAAAAAGAAAATTTAAAAGAGAGTAATTCTTTTAAAAATAAGAATTCAAATTGTGTAAATATTTTACCAGGAAAATACCTATAATATCAAAATGTGTATTGCATTTAAATCTAAGCAGATCTCTCTGTTTTGCGTTAATGTGTATTAGAAGTTGAGCACTTTTCCAGCCATATAAACTCTTCCAGACTATTTACTACTTACAAATAATTTGCATTCAGATATGCTATATCCATACATTATAATGCAGTTAGAATTCATTTCTGCCATAGGTTCAAGCAATAGAAACTTAGATGAAAGTACTTCTTTCCACTATCCTTGGAGCAAAAATTGATAGATTAAAGTGGTACCTCAAAGAAAAATGCTTTTAATTGAGTTTGCATGTCATCTTCATATAAATTCTTTAAAAATCTGTTGCTGTTAAATACCATCATCAAAAAAATTACATGTAAATATACACACATCACACACACACACACATAAAACTTAAGCAGAAACATTCTCTGGGGCCTCCCATGAAAGGTGATATATTTTCTTCAGCAAATCTGGGAAATCCGGTCAGAGAAAAGGAAATGTGAGCTGCGGAGTCCCTTTGTGGTGAGCTGAAAAATGCAGGCTCTTGCTATTTTGGAACCTTCATCTGAGTTCCCTGCAGGGTGTCCCTGCACTCAGTCCTGGGCCCCACAGTATGTAAATTGCATTCTGTTGCACAAGATGAATATTCAACGTATTGCGAGCAAGATCAAGCTAAGATTCCCTATCTCCCCTTTAGGAAAAATCCAACTCAGATGAAGATCATTTTCTGGAGATGCCTTATTTCAGATATAAGTCAATTTTATTGATTTGACGTTTGTTCTGTTATTTTTGTTTCTTTTTTTTCCCCAAGTAATCTTCGAGATGCCTAAAAATTATTAGATGCCATATCTGCCATAGCCTCTGGTTCTCAGTTTCTGTTGATGATTTTATCACGTTGCTGTGCTCTGGTGCATGTGTTGATGTCAGGGGAAATTTAAATGTTCTTTATCTTTTTGCTACTGAAGGAGATGCTTTTTAATTTTTTGCAATGCCGTTGCAAATGTATGCCTTTTTTTTAAAGATAGGGTATATCATCTTGAGTATGTGTCTTAGCCTAAAATACAAGTCCTGTCTATGTTCCATGCAATCGAAGCAGTGCAGTGGGAATAGAAGTGAGGAAAGTACGAACTGCCCAGTCCAGTCCTTGGCATCTTAATTAAATATGGCCTCCTGCCCAGGAATCAGATCTGTGGGCAACAGCATCTGCCCCAGAATTTGTTCCAGTAACAACTTCAGGCTTATTATTGACCCATTGTTTTCTACTCTCACCTCCCTGATTCTCCAGTTACTTGGTTTCTGAGCCTCCCTTTTAGTGGTCTGATTCTTAGACTTACAGATCTTGGTTTTCTCCTCTTCCCTTCTTTGACTCTTTGCACTGAACCCAGGATCTGGTAAGAGGCACTCTATTCGCCCAGCCCTACCCTAAGAGAACCCCTCTGCACAGGCCAGGCCCTTACAATCCTCAGTCATCTTGTAGGAAGAGGACTTAGATAAAAATCAAATGAAATATCCAGTCTTGACGAATACTCCATAGTTAAAGTGCTCTGTTTATTTCAACATAATGAAATTTGAACTTCAAATAGTTCACTAAAAAGAATGTTTTTCTACATTTAGTCATTTATTCCATAATTAATTACTGAGAACCTACTAAAATAATAATATAGCACAGCACAATATAACAATTATTATACTATATAGTAATAATAATAGCTCTACTTGAATAATAATAATAATAATGGTTAAATTTATATAGTACTCTGTGCCTAGCACTGTTCTAAGCACTTTACAGTCTTAGCTCATAAAATTCTCGCAGCAACCGAGTAAGCAAATACTGTTAAACTGAGGATGATACTGCTGCTCAGAGAGTTTAGGAATCTGTGCACAGCCATCCAGGTAGTAGATACAGAAGACCGGATTTGAGCGTTATTAGTCTGACTCGTTAGCTTACATTTTTGACTATTTCACTATACTGCTTCCATGCACCACACATTTTTCATGATATGGTCTGGCACTTATTTTAGCAACAAGTTATAAACACATGATGATGTAATGAAAACCTTTAGGGAATTGTTACCTAGGGAAGAAATTTCATTTCAATTATTAAGGAGTATGATTCGAAACATAATCTGTTTCCTTTGGAGATTCTCGAATAAAAAAATAAAAATTATAGAAAATTATATTTAGCCAGGAAAGGTTTGATATTATATACTGGGTATTTAATATTCTTAAAATGTATTACATGTAACATTTGAGCTTTAAATTTTAAAAGCCATGATGAACATGGTTAACCCAATTAAAAATTTTTGAACTAAGTTGAGTAAATTTTTTAAAAGGAAAAATCCAGTGAAGCTCAGATTTAAAGAAAAAAATTAAAGATTTAAGTCTGGGAAATGAAGGAATCTGTCTTAAGCTTATGCCCACTTCTAAAAACTCAATTTAATGTTTGTACAGTGTAAACTAGTGTCTAATATGGAACTAATTTTATTGAAGATCTGTGGATTTAGAATGTAGACGATAAAATACTCAGATCATTCTAAGCGAATTCTGTTAAATGAAAATCACACTAGTGATTTGACATGAGGCGTCTATTCCTCTATTTGTATTTCAGAAAGTAACTCGTAATCCCTCACTATCAGAATAAAGATATTCAATTTGTCAGATAATTCCACCTCAGGGGGACCAAAAAACGTATCTCGACTGAGATGTAAATAATCACATTTCCAATGCTGAAGGGGCTTGTTCCCTGTGGAGTCTTTTCTCCAATATGACAAGAGTCATTTCTTTTGTGGTCGTAATGATTGTAATATGTTACTTGAAGATGGATCTCAGGAGATCTAGGGTCAGATATAAACAGTTTGCTTGAAGGTAGAACATAGGCTGCAAGGTCGCAGAAGAGAAACTGACAAGGAAATGCTTTTGTTAGAGAATTAGTTTAAAGTGATGTTTAGGAAAAATAATGTGTTTTAACCAACCGTACACTATGTATAGCGCTGTGAGGAACAGTCATGCTCTTTTTTCTCTTTCAAACAACCTGTGATTTTGAAAGACTAAGAAAATACTCCATAGAAAGACAAGAATGTAAACACTGAACAAAAATTTAGAAGGAAAGAAAAATGTAATTGATCATTTGGGCAGAGACAAAGAATAGTTGAAGTCAGAATGTGTTTCTGATGTAAGGAAAGAAAGAGGGAGAGGGAGGGAAGGAAGGAAAAGATGCCGACGATAGGGCGGTAAAGCCCGGGCTTTGTTCAGAACACCTGGATGCTGGATCAGACACCAATACTCGGGTTATTATGTCCTGGTCTCTCTGGCTCTCAGCCTTCTCATCTGTACAATCAAAGGGTTTCTCTGGATGCTTTAAATTAATGTTGAGGTTTAAACTTCTAGTTTTAGTCTGATTGATTCTTTTGAAAGATGAGGTAAAAAAATGTACAGAAAATGTATCAAGATTCATTACTGTGTCTTATCACAGGCTGACGTTTATGAGAATATTATTTTCCAAATGGTGCTCTGAGTGTTTCTATTACCAGATGCAGGCGTCTGGGGAGGCAGTAAGCTCTGGCATTCTCCTGAAGTTAATATTTCATTTGAGTCTCTCAACCAAGTGATACCTGTGGAGAGGAAGACCTTTTCTTTTCATGTAGATGTTAAAAGTGAATCAAGAAAATGCACTGCTACTGTGTTTTGCAAATGTTACAGCTTATAAGAATCACCTGGAAAAAGAGGAAAACTAGAGATTCCTTGGATCAACCTCTAGATACTTCAGTTGGTCTGGTGGGAGGCCTGGGAATCTATAGTTTAATAAGGATCCCCCTGACCTCCCCTACCTGCCAGCTGGTGGGTGATTCTAAAGCTGGTAGCCCCACAGTCAACCACCACACGGCAAGCATTGTTGCAATGGCCGGAGGGGGAGATGATGGCAGCTTTAGACCAAGGTGGTGAGAGAAGAGTTGGTGAGAGTTAGTAGATGGACTATCCAGCCACAGAAACCAAAACTGAGTACAATAAAATATTTGGTTTTAATAACTTCATCTACCACTCAGTTGAAGTTTACAGGAATTTGAAGCAGTTCTGTACTCTTCCTCACTAATGCAGCAACCCAGAGCCCTGAGACATCTGGATACTCTCACCTCTGTATGCTGTCATCAACTCGCCCAACTATCAATACACAATGAATGTGTGTGGGGGGATGAAATGTCCTTTAATTAAAGAAAAAAAGGATAAATGCTATGTATTCTGCAAAAAGAATTTTCAAGGACCTCAAAGTCTTATCTACTCTGCATGAGATAGTTTTCTGATATTACAGTCATATCGTTCAGATATATTTTCATGAGCCTCTTCTACAAAGATGATTCCACCTTCCCTCCTCTGTGCCAGCAG